CATACAAGAATATGTACTGCTGTTTAAATGTACCCAGGTAAGCATCATTTACAAAATAGCTTCCTATTCCATAGACCAGGATTTACCATACAGCAGACCACCATCCCTGAGGAAGAAGTGCTCTGTGTATGTGGCCTTCCTCTAGCTACACACGCTAATGTTACCAGAACTCTCTTTTATTTCTGTCTCTGATGTTCCAATAAGGACATAACTTCCCTTTGTTCTTCTCATTCCTCGTTCTCTTTCACATGTAGATGACCTGGAATGTGCGCCCAAAGTTGCCTTGAGAAGCACAACTTGATCCTGCTATTAGTCTATGATTCAATGCGTCCAGCTGACTCCATCTAGAATTTCCCAACTGCCTTTCCCTTGAATTTGGCCTGTTAAAAAGTGCAACTGAAAAAACTTTGCTGTATTTTAGATGTATCATCTCAACAGTCTATAGCTTTCACTGATACTTGTTTTTCAAAACATCTTTTTTTTTGTCTACACTTAATTTGGTTTTGTTTGAAATTGCTGATAAATCCATATAGCCCTGTAACATATATGGTGAAATGTCATAATCCTTAAGAACATGGGTAAGTTTGTGCTTATCATATTTAGGAATATGCTCAATATTTGAAAAGCATTATTGAATTTCATTTTTACCACCATCCTATAAAGTATGTATGACTAGCTCCCCAGTTTGTAGAAGCTGAGCCTCAGAATGCTCAAGTACCATGTTCTGTTATCACAGTTGGTAGAGCAGGAATTCATATCTAGAACTGTCTCCAAAGCCCATGTTTCTAACCATTATATTCTGTATAGAATATTGAATATTCATATTTTACGATAATATTAAGGGAAGTCAGAATCACTGTATTAAAGCTGGGAGCACCTTTGCAGATGATAAAATCCAAATACCTCATTGTGCAGATGGCTGGTGGGAGAAGAAGCAGCTTTCAAAGTCTACAGAGAGTAGAAGTTGTTGGTTGCTTATTCAATACCCATTCTTCTGTCGCCTCTTTCCTAAGGGAATCCTGCTTTTATTTAGGTCTTCACACATCTCGATGTGACCCTGTGTTTCAAGGGAGGCTGTGCAATTGCCAATTCCAGGAGATCAGTTATGATTGGCCTAATCCATCACGGCGAACCCATTCCCTCACCACTGATTGGCTTAGACACAGGCAGAAGATATAAGTTTGGCCAATGAAATATGAGGAAATGTAATGGAGGGCTCTTGGGACTATTTCTTCACTTTAAAAAGAGCCACAGAAAGATACCTGAAGATATCCTGATGTAGGGAGAGGAAGAATGAGTGCTTCTATTATTTATTCTTCACTGTGATATGCTTCCATAAATGATCTCTTATTCTCAGAACAGATGACATGGCAGGTATTATCATACCCATTCACAGATGAGGAGACTCAGACTTAAGAGCATTAAGTAATTCAGCTGTTAATTGGTAGAGACAGGATTCAAATCCAGAAATGTATGGCTTCAAATGTATCTTATTTTAGGTTAGGTATTTTTACTTTGGAATAAATTTAACATAGGTTTATGTTAATGATTGTGTTGGTAAGTCTCCAATAGTGTGTTCCCTTCTGTGTGTCCAGGTAGAGTTAGGTTCTGAGTCTGCAGAGCTGTGTGTCCTTAGGTCCTCCTCCACCTAGGAGTCAGATGGTTCCACCAGCTGATGTCTTGGTCAGATAATCCTCTGAAATGACAATACCCTAGAGCCTTGCATGTGATCAGGGAGGTTAAAATCATTTGGTACTGCTGGCTCTGGGGACAGGATTGGGTGGCTCCTTTCATATTAGTGTTTTGCTCCAATTTTTTTTTTTTTAAATAAAAATCTTTTTTGTAAAGACAGAGTCTCACTCCATTGCCCAGTCTGGTCTTGAACTCCTGAGATCAAATGATCTGCCTGCCTTGGCCTCCCAAAGTGCTGGAATTACAGGCATGAGCCACTGCACCTAGCCTTGTCTTGCTGTTAATTTGGAATCCCTTGAATATGTTGACTTGAGTCAGCTCCAATGGTATAGAAAACACCAGCGATTGGCACAGGTCAGGCAATTGGTTGGTTGGTTTGTTTCCTTGGTTGACTTAACTCAATTGACTGGTATAGGCTCAAGTTAGGAAAAGCCATGCAAATCTCTCCAAATAAAGATAAAAATGTCTGCCTTACAGGGCTGTAGTGAGAACCAAAGTTAGCCTTCCTTGTACAGTTTCTATCGCGTCGTAGGAAACAGAACATGCTAGCTCCCTGAGTCCCCATTTTCCTCGGTGCTTCCTTCAAATGTTTAATCAATATAACAATTATCTAGAGAAGAAATGTTTTTGCATCTTGTAAACATTGCTAGCTCTGTTACTCAATGTCATTTTTTCAAAAAGAATTACTTTAGAATCTAGAACTTAAAATAGATTAACTTCTTTTTCTTTTGGAAATTAAAAAAACATTTCCAACCCATCTTATATTCCTACCTGTCATGGCTTCCAGGAAAATCAGAAGTAAACTTAATTACCAAGGACATTGACCAGCTTGCATTATCTATCTGTCTATCTATCTATCTATATCTATCTACCTACCTACCTACCTACCTACCTACCTACCTACATTTTGTCCTTATCATCTAGATAGCTATCATCTATTTGTATTAGTTCCCTAGGGCTGCTGTAACAAATTACCACAAATTTTGTGGCTTAAAACAACAGAAATTTATTCCCGCACAATTTAGGAGGCCAGAAGTCTGAAATCAATGTGTCAGCTGGGTTAGTTTTGTCTGGAGGCTCTGAGGGACAACCTGTTTTATGCCTCTCTCCTAGCTTCTGAGGGTTGCTGCGTTTCCTTGGCTTGTAGCCGCATGCTCCAGTCTCTGCCTTTGTTGTCATGTAGACTTTTTCCCTGTGTGTCTCTCCACAGGGTCTCCTTATAAGGATACCCATCATTGAATTTAGGACCTACCTAAATACAGCATGGCCTCATCTTAACTTCATTAACTACCTTTTCAAAGACCCTATTTCCAAATAAGGTCACATTCTGAAGTTCTAGGTAGATATTAATTTGGCGGGGACACTATTTGTCCTGGTACACTACCAATTTCACTCCCAATTTTCACTCCCGATTTATGCTTTTACCTTCTGCTCCCCGACTTTTTCTCAGGTATGCTGTCCAATTTCTCTAACTCACTTATTCTATAATCACTTACTGAATGCTACTATATATGAGACATTGACAGTACAATTGTAAACAAAATCTTTGCCCCTCACCAAATTCTTCCAGTTTGACGAAAGGATACACTAAAACAAAAACCCAATTAAGTATATGCTTAAAAATAATATAATTTAAAAATGATGACCAGTGCTGTGAAATAATGTGAGATAGATGAGATTATAAAGGGAGATATGATTCATATTGGTCTGGGATTATCAGAGTCTGAGACTCCCAGAATTCAGCTGGGAGTTTCTAACATAAAGGATTCAGCTAAGCAAGTGTCAGAGGATAAAGTATTTGAGGAAGAGGAGGCAACAGCATGTACAGGGAAGCCAGGAGGAAAGTGGCATGGGGTGGGGCTGAGAGGTGGGCAGGGCCAGGTCTCATAGGGCATTGTAGACCTAAGAGATTTTTTCCCATTAACATGGAAGGCCACTGCAGGCTTCTGAGCAGAAGAATGGTCTGCCATGTGAAAAACCAATTTGAGTGGGCAGGAGTGAAAGCAGAGAACCAGTTAGGAGACTTCTATATTGATCCAGGTGACAAATGATGGCTTGAACTCCAGTGACAACAGTGGAGATGACAATAAATGGGCATATTTGAGGCATATTTTATAGGAGGAAAAGACATGGCTTGTTGATGAATGCAGAAGATGTGATGTGGGAGGCATTAAGGATCCTGCCAGTTTCCAGAATGAGTAACTAGATGGCCAGAGGTGCCATTACCAAGATATGAGGCACAGGAGGAAAAATAGATTTAGGAGGGAAGATCAAGGGTTCAGCTTAAGACAAGTTAAATTTGAGATACCTGGAGGATGTTCAAGTGGAGACGTCAAATAGGAAGGTGGATATATGGTCTGGATCCGGGAAGATGAGTCTGTGTTGAAATGCAAATTTGGGAGTTCTTGGCAAGTAGAGACTATTTAAAGCCATTATTCTTGGCTTTAGGTGGTTTTGTTGTTGTTGTTGTTGTTGTTGTTGTTGTTTTTTAAATTGTCAAGCTGACCTTGTTCAGGTATATTTGGCTTCTCTTTGAAATATTGGAGCCTGTGGCTCTGGTTATACCTTCCAGTCTCTTATTTTCTGCCTTATTTTGTAGGTTTCTTTCTAATTACATTGTAAAGTCAGAGTATTGCAATAGAAAGAAACAGATTCTGATTATTTGTGTGCCTTGGAGAAGCAGCTGAGTATCTCTGGCTCCACTGAGTATCTCTGTTTTATGCTTCTCTCCTAGCTTCTGAGGGTTTTCCTAACTATAGAAGAAGGGATTTGCTTGTTTTCAGTTTTAAAAATCTATGACTCTGTAATCTAAGAAGTACTTGCTAAGGTATGTCTATCTTTCTCCATTCGCAAAGACTTTAAGTGGTCACCATTGGCAAATTAGCAAAGTTTTGATTAGATTTTGCAGGAGATTTTGAAGTACGCATCATGTCCAACAATTAAAGATTAAATCAAACACTATTCATGTCAGTCTCAGATACTATTGCTGTAATTCATGTCAGTCTCAGATACTATTGCTGAAAAATGGCATTTCTTCTGTACTTGTGGATATAGGTTATGGGGAAAAGTAGAAATTTAGATATTTACTCACCAAAATAGCATGACATTTAAATCTAAGACAAACCCGCTTCCCTGTAAATTCCTATAGGATTTGGCACTTCTTGGGCAAAGTAAAAAGTATTCCAAATATTATGTAAAAGCCTAGTAAATGCAATAACCTGGATCATGAGACACAAGCAACAGCATTTCCTTATGTCTTCTGAGGCAAAGCTATACAACATGTCACCATTTCAGCAGTCTTTCCATACCTCAGTGACAGCAAAGCTTCTCTTGCCACAGGGAACCACCTTGTACCACTTGTCATGAAGCACATCCATAACCCCGTGTGACTTGTACTGACTGATTAGCTCAGATATGTTGGAGGTCAGTGGAGAGTTGGGTGGGAGGCCAATGCCGTATCCTAGGAGAAAATACAATCTCTGATGAATTTTTTACACTCTTCCTGAGAGATCGCCACCATAGTTCATACTTGTGTGCTACTGCTATCAGACCTAAAAAAAGGGTGTGATGAGCTTTCATCAACGTTTTTTCAAAGCACTCAAAGACATTCCTAGTCATGATTACCCTTAAATTAGTGGTATATCGGAGTAGATAAATTGAGTCAGAAAAGGAGAGGAATGGGCTGTGCACAGTGTATTAGTGAAACATTTTAAGATCTTCTGCCTTTCCCTTTAAGATATTTCTTTGAGGCAATTTTGAGGTCTTTATCAGGGCTAGGATTCTCTATCTCTTCCAGAACCCCTCTTCTGAAACTTAAATATACGAAACTGGATTAATCATGGTCTGTTGTTAATGACAGTCTCTTATAACTGTTAATGCATGACCCTCTCTTACATTTTTAAATTTATTTTTTATTTTTGAATAACATAATAAGACCATGTAAATAAACAATACAAGAACTAAAACATCAATAGGAACTTGTAAAAACCAACTTAAATTGTCCAAAAATAAATAAATAAGAGGTAATACCAAGTTTTAGAGAAGATAAGGATCAATAAGATTATATATTGCTTGCTGTAATACAAACTGAAAATCGATACAACCATTTTGGAAAGCAGTTTGGTAGTATTTTGTTTGATTGAACATTTACATATTTTAAGACCAGCAATTCTGTTCCTGAGTCCATTCTCAAAGATCTCCTCCACAGGCATACCAGGAGATGTGTATAAAAATGTTCTTAGAGGAACTGTTCATGATAGCAAAAATTGGAAACAACCCAAATGCTCTTTGACAAGAGAATGAATAATGAAACTGTGGACTATTTGCACAGATGGAATATTAATAATCAAAACTATATGAACTAGAACTAGATGCAATGATATGGAAGACCCTTAGTAATATGCCATTGAATGAAAAAGGTAAATTCCAGAAGATTGCTTGCAGCAGGTAAATTCATTGTGTAAATATTAAAACATTCAAAACAACACAATACAGTTTTAGGAATACATATATATGCATATATATGTGATAATCCTTTTTTTTTTTTTTTTTTAAAGACAGGGTCTTGCTCTGTTGCCCAGGCTGGAGTACAGTGGTGCTATCACGGCTCATTGCAAGCTTGACCTCCTGGGCTCAAGTGATCCTCCTGGCTCAGCCCCCTGAGTAGCTGAAACCACAGGCACACACTGTATGACTGACTAATTTTGTATTTTTTGTTGACATAGGGTCTCGCCATGTTGCCTAAGCTGGTCTTGAATTCCTGGGCTCAAGCAATCCACCCACCTCAGCCTCCGAGAGTGATGGGATTACAGGTATGAGTCATGTGCCCAGCCAGTGATAATACTTATTAAAAAAAATAACAAGGATATGATAAATGGAAGGTGGTAATGCAGGGCAAGGGAAGCAGGGGAAGGAATGAGGGAGGAACATAAAGATGAAGTTAATTTGTTGTCAGAGTTTTATTAATCAGCTTAGACTTTATCCTCACAGTGTGTGGCTTTACTTGCTTTCCAAATGTTACTATACTGTTAATCTCTTTGATGAGCCATGTCAAAGAGGCTAATTAACTACATTTTGTTTTAGCTATTGGACAGATTAGTAAAAAAAAACAAAAAACAAGAAAAAAACAACTTTTTTTTGTGCTTCAACATGATTGAGGAAGATAAAATAAAAATATAGTTAGTTATTTTTTCATGGATAAAAGACTAAAAGGTTGTCAAGCATCTGAAGATACTTAATAGAAACAAATACCTCCTATAATTATTCTATCTTAGGACTCAATTTCAAGAACACTGGTTTTTGTTCCTTTTTAAATGCAGATACACAATCTTTTTCTTTAAAAAAATAAGGCTTGAGGTGTGTATAACCAATAAAAGAGATGAAATAATGCAGAAAAAAACCTGAGTTTTAATGGGTTGTATTTTTTTCTGATAATAATATTATTTGTTCCTTAACAATAGGGAGTCAAGAAAATGATGAGAATGTCAAAAGCATGATTAGCATTTTCCATTCAAAGATCTATTTTGAGTGCCTGTTTTGTGCCTAGTAGTTTTGGTTTGAAAGGCAGAACTGATAACAAAAGAGTTTGGATGGGTAGCTTTTTATTCTGCTGATGTTATTATTAAATAACATTTTAAAAAATAATGGGTAATTTATTAGAAGGAAGTAATCAGTTTTCTTTAGAAACATAATGAATGCAGTTGCCAATTCAACTGCGCGAACATTTATTCAGTACTTATTTGCACATCATGCACAATACTAGGCACAAGTATATCATAATATTCACTGATTCACTGACTCACACATTCATTTATTCACTCACTCATTCATTTATCCAAGAAATAAGTAAATAGGCACCATGTTAAGCAGTCAGCATTTGGCAGTGACCAAGGTAGTTGTGATCTCTGCTGCTATGGGATGTACACTCTACTGGGGAGGCAGATAATAAGCAATACACAGCATAATTATTATTTCATTACAATTGAGATAGATGCTGTAGGGAGAACTGAGCCATGTAAGAACAAAGTGTAGAAGGACTTGCTGCTATCTGGTAGGAGTGGGATGATGGTTCAGATAATTAGCCAGGTTTGTGGAATATCAATGTGTTTTTCCTTCCTGGTCCATAGTTTGCAGCAACAACAACAGCAACAGATTGGGGCACACAGTTCAGTTAAATCATCCTTGGATTCTAATAATAAGTACTGGGACATACTGAGCTCTGCTGTGTGCGAAGCGCTGTTCCGCATGTATTCCTACATGAACTGACACCAGAGTGTGTATTACTTGGAGACTTAAAGATTGAATAAATAAACTTCCAAGGTCACACAGCTAGTAGTTGGCAAAGCCAGCATTTTAAAGTAGATCTATTTGATTTTAAAACCAATGCTCTTCTTACCATGTCCATTACAACATGTGACCACATCAAAGAAATACTTATTTCCTTCCATTTAATGCAGGCCCCAACACTATATGCACACCGATGTAACCAGATAATTCATTTAAAAAACACAATCATCTAAACTGTTGGTTTGTTTCTAGTAAACACAAATACACATTGTTCACAGTCAGATTTTACTTATAAACTTTTCTATGTTATGTAGAAATAGTGTGAAAACAGCTCTAACTTATATGTGATTATATATGGGAAAATTCACTAGCAAGAACACTCACTAATTATATTGTTTCTCCTAAAACCCTCTGAAAGCTAATCATTCCAACCTACATTAATGTAATCATGGCAGAATTTTTTTTTTCATTTGATAATCACTTATTGCTCATGTATTCATTTATTAATTCCATAAACCTGCATTGAGTGCTTATTCTGTGTCAGGCACTCCTTCATATGCTCTGGAGGTTACCAAGTTAAAACAGCTTAAATTAAGTTACCAACTTAATTCAAAAATTAATGAATTAAGTTACCAACTTAAAGTTACTAAATGAATTAAGTTACCAATTTGAATTCAAAAAAGATAAAATATAATGCCTAGGGCACAATGAGGAGGATGGACGAAGCTCTGTGAAAATCCATAGGAACAAGAAATTGGTACCAGAGGAGAGGATGAGAGATGTCATCTTGAATTGTTTCTTGATCCTGATATTTTGGTAGATAAGACAAAAGTATATGATAAGAAAGTTTTAAATTTTGAACTTCACCCAAATGCCCATCGATGATAGACTGGACAGGGAAAATGTGGTACATATACACCATGGAATATTACACAGCCATCAAAAATGATGAGTTCGTGTTCTTTGTCGGGACATGGATGAACCTGGAAACCATCATTCTCAGCAAACTGATGCAAGAACAGAAAATCAAACACCGCATATTCTCACTCATTGGCAGGTGTTGAACAATGAGAACACATGGACACAGGGAGGGGAGCACTACACGCTGGGATCCGTTGAGGGGAAATGAGGGAGGGATGAGGGGTGGGGAGGTGGGGAGAGATAGCATGGGGAGAAATGACAGATATAGCTGAGGGGAAGGAAGGCAGCAAATCACACTGCCATGTGTGTACCTATACAACAATCTTGCATGTTCTTCACATGTACCCCAAAACCTAAAATGCAATTTAAAAAAAACCATAATAATAATAATATAAAAATATATTGAGTACTCAAAAAATTTTGAATTTCATGCTTATGATAAATCTACATATTCTAAGAATAGAATTTTGGCACTAAAATTCCCTAATGAAAATGTTGAGTTTTCAGACATTTATAAAAATTGTTACACAAGAAATAATAAATATTAAATCACTCCACTCGATCATGTTGAGGTCAATTTGCAGCTGGTTGCTAAAAATAGATTACTATTCCTTTAACATTTCTATTTTAATGTATTGAAAATTGATATTTTAATGATTTCTAGCAATAATAACTGTTTTTAGCTAATTAAAACAAACTATGAACATGGAATGAGGGAAAAATAGGAAAATAAATTATGTGATGATGAGAGGAGTTATTTGTGAAAAGAGATAAAAATCCATTTTATTCAGAAACATAAAATAGTAAAACCTTGAGGGTTTTATTTCTGTCCCCACTTAACAGTTGCTTTTCAAATTTGCTTGTGTTCATTGATCAAAGAATTCTTATTTTTAAATTGCTGACTCAACTTAGCAGCCTGAGTTGCTTTTGTTATTATTAGAAACGTGGCTTTGCCATAAAGACAGGGTTGACTATTTTGTGGTTGATGGATGAAGCAAAATGGAATCCTTCAACTCTAAAGATGAAAGCATCAGGCATCCTGGAAATTGGATACAGCTTAATAGCCCAAGAGAACAATTTTCAGAGTAGAATCCTGATCTCTTAACCATGGATAAATCAGCTTTACTCAGCTAAAAGTGGTGGAAATATTTTGGCTAGCAAATGTATAGTTTGAAATTCATAGACTAAAAGAATCTTCCTGAAATGTGGTTGGAAAGGAGATATTTTGAAAATAGCATCTCAGATAGGGTTAAAAAGGCTTCAGGGAGAAGGATTTATTCAGTTTTGCAGTCTGTCCTTGGAATACCATATTTAGCTACTCTGGGACAATGGTTGAGAACATATTGTAATGGTCCCAACTATAAAGAGACTATAAAATAGGTTTCCCTTAGCCTCACTACATCAAAGTGGGGAGAGAAATGTGTGGGAGAGTTGAAACTTAGGGAGACTATCCTAGAAGAATTTTATGCTGAATTGGTCTCAATTTATTAATTCAATATACTATATAATAATAATTTGTTGAGCACTTCTTATGAGCCAAACAAGTTTCTACAGTGCATGCTTTGTATGTATTACTTAATCCTCACAACAATTCTATCACAAATTTCCTGTTCATCTCCCCATTATGCAGATGAGGAACCTGAGGAGTAGATTAAATAGCTTACCAGTTAATACCAGCAATTTTATCCTGCCCCAAGCACCCAGACTCCAAAGCCAGTGCTCCAAGCACTGTATTAAATAATTATTAGAAAGCAAGTAAAAGAACAAACTCAAAAGTAGGCAAAGGTCTTTGGCAGAAAGGTCAGGCATCATTATTGTGTGGTTACGTTACTCTTTCTCCTCGTTTGAGCTTTGTTGTCAGCTAACTCCAATGCACAAAATGGAGACATGTATTCATTTATCTCAACACTTGCTTTTGTTCTCCACTGCATACAATATGTATTTGTGCCCCTGGTATATGGGATTTAATTCAACCAAAGGCTCTCCACATGCTTTCAAATCCTTAACAGTTTGGGTTTGCTCTGCTATATACTCTTTAGTACGAATGAGCACTCATGAAAGGGTTTCAAACTCAGTGTGGAGCCACTGTCTCTTATTTGCCATACTTTTTCCTTTTAAGTCAAAATAAATATAGAATGGTGAAGCTGGGAAGGGTAATAGTTATTTTCATCTGTTCAGGCTTCTATAACAAAATATCATAGACTGAGTGACTTATAAACAAAAGAAATTTATTTCTTATTGTTCTGGAGGCTGGGAAGTCCAAGAGCAGGGCTCTGGTAGATTTGGTGTCTGGTGAGGGACTGCTTTCTGGTTCATAGATGTTGCCTTGTAGCTGGATCCTTGCATGCTGAAAAGGGCGAGTGAGCTTCGTTGAGCCTATTTCTTAGGGGAACTAATTTCATTTATTAGGGTGAAACCTTTATGACCTAATCACCTCCCACTAGGTCCCACCTCCTAATATCATCACGTCGGGATTAGATTGCAACATATGAACTTTGGGGAGGCACAATATTCAAACCATAGCAGTAGTTACACTGTGTGTCACACATATAGTACTTAGTGTGTTACTGCTATATAGAGTGACAGTAGGTACATTCAACATGAAGGAATAATTGCACTGTTTTCTCACGTCTTAGTACATTTAAACATTTGGGAAAGTATAGATTCAAGCTATTAACTACCTAAGTGAGTGAATTAGGTATTTATTTCAAATGTAATTAACTATTTAATAGGTAATAGATCATTTATTACATAATTGTTACATGCCTAGCATTGTGCTAGACCCTGTGAAAAGATATGGGTAGGCATCTAAAACAGTCTTGTAAGCTAAATGGTGAACCGTTGCTCATAAACTGCTTTGATGATGTTTTTTATAACTATGCAGTCTAAATAATAAAGCTCAGGTTTTAATAAGTTCAAGAAATGTAAATGTTATTAAATGACAGCATATAATTTTTTAACAATTTAATTGAGAGAAATACGAAAATATTTCTTTCGGTTTGAGATTCAATTAAATTAAATTTAAATTAATTTAAATTAAATTTCAATTCAATAAATAATTTGAGAGAAATATTGAGAAATATTTTCATATTTCTCTTAATTAAATTTTAAAAAGTATTTTATGCTATCCTTTAATAACATTTACATTTCTTGAACTTATTAAAATCTGAGCCTTATTATTTAGATGGTAGGTGGCTCATGCCTGTAATCCCAGCACTTTGGGAGGCTGAGGCGCACAGATCACTTGAGGCCAGGAGTTTGAGACCAGCCTGGCCAAAATGGTGAAACCCTGTCTCTACTAAAAATACAAAAATTAGTTGGGCATGGTGGTGAACACCTGTAATCCCAGCTATTTGGGAGATTGAAGCATGAGAATCGTTTGAACCTGGGAGGTGGAGTTTGCAATGAGCTGAGATCATGCCACCGCACTCCAGCCTGGATGATAGAGTGAGACTCAGTCTCTCTCTCTCTCTCTCTCTCTCTCTCTCTCTCTCTCTGTATATATATATATATATATATATATATATATATATTCATATTTTTAAGAAAAGTAGCAATCAAGACTTTGACTAGTATTTCTACCACATTGCTTTGTGTAATTTATATGTATCCTCCCTTTCTGTTTTACTGAGTTAGGTTTTTGGGGTATGAACTTATTGTCATGGGCAGTATTGAATTAAATTTTCTGATGTGTGCCCCATCCATTTTGAGAATAACCTCACGATGATAATAATACACTCTCAATTGAAACCTGCAGTCTTTCTGCTCTCTTGCAGGAAGGGCTCTTCCATTCGCCATTTTGTGCCTATCTCCTTTGAAAACGATGTGGTTTTTAGAGATGATGGGAAGTGCAAGAGGCTAAGTCTCAGGAGCACAGATGGAAATGTAAACAGGAAACCAGTGGGGAGTTAATTGTGTGGCATCTGGCACTGGGGTCCAACAGAGGCAAACAAGCCATCTTACCACTGTCTTTTGACAAGATAGAGTTGTCCCCTGAAGATAAAGGTGGAAAATGGAGCCCCTCATTCTTAGGTCCAATACACATGATTCACTGTTAGTAGCTCCTAATGGCAGAAGGGACCTCAGCTACACAGTGCATCTAGGACAGAAATAAAATGTAACATCCCTAGATGCTACAAAAAATGAGAAATTTCCCATTGTTACATAAAAATGGGATTATGTACTGAATGTTGTTTGCTTTTCTAGCTTTTTCTTTGTCTGCCTTTGCTATCTTAAGTGGTAGTCTTAATAGAAGACCAATACTGCTAATTGCCTCTCGGAAATTTCTGAGTTCCATCCCTGCTGCAGGTGGGGGTCACTTTGCCTGGAGAGGGGACTGATTTCTGATAGGAGAAGACATGAAGAAACAGCATCAGCTATAACACTCTCATTTATCACAAAAACAAAGACAGAGGTAAAAAAATCTGCTGATGCCTTTAGAGGAGACAGAGACCAACTGTGGCTGGAAAATTGAAATCAGAATAGTCTTGATATCCTAGTTAACAAACAGGAAAGTACAGATTTCTGGAAATAGCAGTTGGGCACCCCCATGGGATTGTTTCAAGCCAAAGTGTTTTCTGAGAAGTGAGCATGGCTATCTTGAGAGCCAGCAGGTACTGTCAGGGAAAGGAAGCTGGGAACTGGAAAATGTGAAATTTGCTGCTTTGAACTATCAGCTCCATATATTGACCATCACTCAGAATGAAAGGAGCTACGGACAAAGCAATCTTTCTTTGGTTCTGAAGTTTGATTGATTGGGCGATCACATTAGAAGGAAAAAATTGCTGCTAGTGGGGAAAAAGATCTGAGATCCCAAACACGGATCCAAGGTTTGGTTTGGGACCCCCAAAGGGCATTAAACTAGAATAAGTATTTTTCTACTTATTTTTCAACTAGTGGAAGAACACTTATTTAAAAACCACGAGCTTTAGATTTCAGTCCCAGTATTATCATCTTATTGGACAATTATGAAAATGTTATGTAATGTCCTTGGGCTTTTTTGTTTATCAAATGAGTAGATTGGATTAGATCAATATTGGGGCCCTTCCAGTTGTAAAATGTAATCATTCTAGTTTTGCCATCAGATTTGCTACAGTAGCTGGCTGTTAGAAAATAAAGATTTCCCTGACTTATTGAAGGTCAAGGTGGGAGAATCACTTGAGGCCAGGAATTGGAAACCAACTTGGGCAACATAGCAACAAAACACCCTGCTTACACACACACACACACACACACACACACACACACCCCAGATTAAATTCAAATCAACTCCCTATCTCTTACACTGTGCCACCACTCCCAGATCATTTGGGTAACAATGATTTTCTCCCCCCAACAATTGGGTAAATAAATATTTGTTGAATAGGTGAAAAATAAATTCCTAACTTTAGCAACTTAATAGCTAAGTGCTTATGAGTTGAAAAAGAAAACAAGGGAAGATGAATAGCTCTTTGCTTCTGACTTTGGCATTTGTGACTTGCTAGGTTGGCGAACTGAGCACAACCTAAGTAAAAGTGAATCAAGAGTGACTGATTAATACCTTCTATGGCAAATGGCTTCCCCACAGTGAGAAGTTTGCAGTCAGCATCTATTGACACTTCATAATCCAGAAGGGCTTTGTCCATGATGAAGGCGTCTAGTTTCTCTGGATCATTCCTATATTTAAGACCAGAGGAGAAAAGTGAAAATGATTCATTAATGGGAAGGAAGCACGAAGGCTGACAGCAGGCTTTTGTTGAGGGGACAGAAACCTGGACAGAAAGGGCAGCACAGCCTACCTAGCTGCTGACTTAGCTGTCTTGGCTTCTCACTGACCTCTAGGCTATAGACCAGGGGAGACAGATACTCTTATGAAAGAGTATGACATTTTTCCAGTGGGTTTATCTACTGGTTTCTTTCATTACTTCTAAATCCATCAATAAAGCTAGATCCACTCTGAATTGAATAGGAAGGTGCATAGAGAAGGTTCATTCTTATACCATTAGAGTGATTTCTTATTGTTAGGCATTGCCTCCATTATTCTCTATACATTTTATCACTCAGAATGACTATGATATAAAAGATGAGGAAATCGGGGCTCAGAGGGTTGAAGTAACTTCAACCAGGTTGCACAGATAGTGTTGGGACCAGGGCTTCCACTTGAAAAGAGGGCAAGGAAGGAGAAGTTTTAAACGGAAATAACTGTCTAAAATACATGCAACAGCTTCTTTGTTATCAGCCACTTCCAATTCTTTTTGGAAAGGTGAAAGACATAAATCCATTTAAGAAAGGATTTTCTATCAGGAAAAGTTTCAGAAGAACTCTTGGCCTAATTTGCTTTTATTGTGACTATGTCATGAGCCCATCCCTGGATATTGTTACCATGGAAATGGGCTATTACTCTTATTGGCTGGGTGGCGTCATCTGGAGTAAGCCCCACATAAATCATTGAGAGTAGAAGAGGGATGAAGAAATGTAGGATGCTGTGACCAAAAAGAGGGAATGGATTTTGTAAAGACCAGAAAAAAAACTATTTTGTGCACTGTATTATCTCCCCAATTAAAGTGTAAGTTTCTTGAGAATAAGAACTCTGTATTATACTTCTTTCTCTCTCACGCGATGACTATCTCAGGTCCTTTTTATTGTGTAAGTGTAGAGGTTTATTTTTTAGAAGCAAGAACATTTATTAATTTGAAAAAAGAAAGATTTTCTACCCTTACAAGTTGTCCAACCAGAACAACTCTAAGAGTAGAAAATTACAAGTCTTTTGCAAAAAGAACAACTCTTTTCTATTCCTCCTGGGCTCAGTCCTTTCTCTCTTAGATCCTCTCTTAAGGGTGAGGCTGTTCTAATTCAACACTGTGTGGCCTCTTAACAGAGGAGAATATGACTAGAATTCATAAAAAATCAAAAAGAGAAAGACATCTCTACACACCAGAAGATTCGTCAGTGGGCAGGAAACATATCTTTACAGAAATGGCTTTGATCGGGTCACGTGTAGACACTTGGTTGGTAGGTCAGCTTCCCTTTTTGGTACCAATGACCATTGCTTTCTTATCCTACTCTTCAAATAAGTAAAATACCCAATTTAAAATGCATCCCCTTTTCCAAGGGGTATCAGATTTAAGTTACAATGAGGCCCATATTTGACTTTAACCAGAATGAAGCACCACCCAGCTCTACAGCAGTGGGAAGCTTCAGAAAGGGTTCGGGATGGATGTGGATTGTCTCCTAGGAGTTGATGATAAGGAATCTTAATGGAACCTTGGCAATAAAATAAAAATTGAGCTGAAAGCTGTTTCTCCAATCAAAGTTCAACTGCCACAATATCATAATGTACCTTGAGAGCTAACCAACAAATTATCATTTGCCAATATTCCACAAATATTTGTGGTAGCAATATGGCAGTAAAAAAGATGAGGTTCATTTCAGTTTTTTTAAAACCAGTAATACATAAAGCTTAATTTCTCCGGTATCCTTCTTTAAATAACCACTCTTGACTTTGGACTGCAAAGTGCAGATAACTATGATGAATTTCAATTACATGAAAGGCAAAAAGCAGTCAGCTTTCAGACTCCCATGGGACCCTGAGTCACTGATGAGGAAATGGCCAAGTGGGATCCAGGTACAAGTAGCTTCTAGACTGGATGAATCACTGTTGTGGTTCGCAGGGCCCCCAATGGTTATTTCTATTATAGAATCATGCCCTGTCTTTTCTTAGGCATTATTTTAAAATACATATCACACACCACAAGAAAACTAGTCACATATTAACATAACAAAATGAATAAGAATATTAATGGATTAATTTTTTTGGGAAAACTGTTAATGAGAAAGCAGTGCCCTGAGAGAGTAGAATTAAGTCCAGGGGAATCTTGATGGGAGAGGGAAAGGACAGGTTCAATATGTAGAAACCTGCCTTGCATGGGCAATACTAGGGCTTGTGCCTTGTAGGTCAGAGCTCTGGGATGCCAGGGAGGTAACATGAAGACTGTGGTTGTGGGAAGTGTTGTCTAAGGGCATAGGAAATGACTAGACTGAAAGTGGAGAGTTAAGGCCCAGGGAGAAGTGCTGAGAGGGCATTAGTGATAAGCTCTGCCTATATTTCAGTTTCATCTCAATAAGTGAATTGCTTGGGGAGCTTGTTAACATGAAGATTCTGATGCCATAGGTTTGGGATGAGGCTGGAGTTGCTTCATTTCTAACTAGCTTTCAGATACCAACTGGAACATAGATGTTGCTGGAACATGGACTATTCTTTAACCTTCCATGGCCCACTCTCCTGTCATGGTTCCTAGACAAGTCTGAAGCAGTGGTTGGATTTCATTCAGAGACCTGGTCCTAGTCCTCACTCTGCTACTTGCTAGCCATATTACAAAAAAAAAAAAAAAAAAAAAAAAAAAGGACTTCTTCCAGGCCTTCATCATCTGTGGCTGCTTTCTTCAAGATTGCTTCTCTTCAGGCTAGGGTGGGGCCAGCGCTGGGCATGTGTGCCTTCTCGGGTAAAGCTCCTGGGTTACATGAATGCCCTGCATGAAGTGGAACTGCTGGGGACTGCAGCAGTTGCTCCTCTCATCCTTCTTCACACTGTCAGCAGAGCCCAGTTTGTCTGCCATTTCTGCTGAGCTGGAAGCTGTTGCTACCCTGACTTCTTATTCTTTCTCTCAACCATAAATTTGCCTGAAGAAGAGAATACACAAGAAGATCTGGGAGGCAAAGGGGCTCTAAATGTCATGTCAGAGAGAGCCTCTAATGTGCTGATGTTCTTGCAAAATTAAAAGTGGCATTTCATAGTACTTTCACATCATATAGAATTTTGCAAATATGAGAGAACAGGCTTTTTCTCTGAGCTAGAGTTAAGAGTCCATAACATTTTAAGTGGCCTATTTCTAAAGTTGTTGAGAGAGACAAAACCCTTATGTTCGTGAAATTATTTCTTTATTTCTGCTCTTCCTTAAAAAAGAATTTGAGGTGGCAGGTCTTGCTGTCCATCGGGGAGACTATTGAAGCTGACCATGGAGAAACCAGTTTCCTGATTCTGCACAATTCTAGGAACTGGAAGTGTGGATGTTTTTTATTATCTTGATTCCTTCAATCAGGAGGGAGATGACTGGTCACCCTCATGCATTCATGTTTTTCAGAAACCATTCTTTCTCTTTTCCCAGGAAAACTAGATGGAGCAGACCCATCATTGCACCGTCTGCCTTTACATTCAACATCATTGAATTACAGGCTCTGATAATCTTCCATGGCAATGTGATTTCTCTTGATTGCTTCTCATAAATTTTGATGAGAAAAATGCAGGCATGGGAATCATTGTCTTCTATCTTATTTCCTTTCTACAGAAAATCTCCAAGATAAATTCCATTTCCTTGTGGCAAGAGGAGGCATTCCATGGGCTTAGAGATATATTCACTGCAAAGAAAAAGGTTACCTTGGGACACTTTATCCTCTGGCCACATTCCCTGTGTGTTTGATCATTTCAGCACCATTGTTTTCTCAAGTGATGTGAAGCTAACATTTACTTCCCCCACCATCTGCTATGCTAATGGTCCCACTGGCTCTTTGAACGAAGCTATTGCCAACTTGAGACTATGCAGGTCACAAGTAATATAGGCCACACAATTAAATACACACTATTTCACACTATCTCCTGGGATCTCACACAGTGTAAAATATTACTGAATGCAACATGGGTATATTTGTCTGTCATTTTCGGAAACTGAAAAACAGTACGTCAGTAGCTAAATTACTTCTCTTCAGTAAGAATTTTTCTTTGGATCCAAGAGGTTGACACTCACTTCAGATATTCCACTCCATCGGGGGTGGCTGGAACATTGTACCTTCTCATATATTCATGCATCTCTGGGAAACTCTGTCTCACATAATCTTCAGCACTGCTTTCTCGGACAGTTCCAAAGCGAAATCCTTGGGAGGGATGATGCAACTGTGAGGGAGAAAAAGAAAAGGCTTAAATAAAAATTATTCTTAGAATTGTTTTTAACATTTTTTCCATAATTCTTTGAAATGATAATAATTCAGAACATTTTTTCTTTTTTTAAGTCTATAAAGAAATTGCTGCTTCTGAGATAATTCAGAACTTTTCTAACACCCACAGGCAGGAGCATGTACATAGAAATGTGCAGACATGGGTACGTGCTTTTTAACATCAGAAATTGTTCTAGCTTTAGAAGCAAGCATATGGAAACAAAAATACAAAACATTTGTTTTTGTTTTATATTGAGAACCTATTAGAATTCTTTAGAAGCTGTGCAAATTGGCATGTAGAATCAGTCTCATTATTGTAAATTGCATATCAGACAGGATATATTCATAATAAAGATTATGATACTCCTTGGTTAGAATGACTCAAAGGCCAAGTTAAAACCTTGCATTCTGAGATTATAATAAACCTGCCCCAATGCTGTGACTACATTGCTTTTGTGTTTAGCTATCTTTATGCTATATTACATTCTGTTTATTGAATTTATTTTTGGCGTTATTATAAAATGCTCTCTTTCCTTTAAATAACTGTATTATCCAATGCTGAGTCATGCTGTATATTTGCTCAAATGGAATGGTATGTAAGATAATTTGTAGTGACAGAGGGGAGGGTGGCAGGAGTAGACCTAATAATTTCATAGGTTTCCAGGATGCAAGACACCTCACCTTGTGTACTAGTCAGTTCTCACACTGCCATGAAAAAACACCTGAGACTGGGTAATTTATCGAGAAAAGAGGTTTAATTGACTTATAATTCTGTATGGCTGGGGAGGCCTCAGTAAACATAAAGTCACTGCAGAGGGCACCTCTTCACAGGATGGCAGGAGAGAGAATGAGTGCCAAGTGAAGGGAGAAGCTCCTTATAAAACCATCAGATCTTATGAGAACTCACTCACTATCAGAACAGCCCTGTGATTCAATTATCTTCACCTGGTCCCTCCCACAACACATGGGAATTATGGGAACTACAATTAAAGATGAGATTTGGGTGGGGACACAGCCAAACCTTGTCACCAAGAGAAAAGAGTGTGCATTGGGAGTCCTGCAGAGACTGTCTGTCACTAAGGAGAATAAAGAGAGATCACACGAAACATTACTATTCAATGGAAGTTCTAGAGAAGCATTAATGTGTAATCTAAAGTGTGGACTATTTAAAAAAATGAGAATGAACTGGGATTTGGCCACATTACTGTGGTCAGCAATATTTTAGAGATGATACATCTCCACAATAATTATAGTCAAGTCTTTGCACAATTTTGTTTTGCCTGGTATTAACATATTTTATATAATTAGTTCTGATGTGATTCCCTGGGGACACAAATCTATGGATGGGCTTCATGGAGTTTATAAACCTCCTGAAATAGTAGGCAATAGTTTTTGTAAATGTGTTTGTAATTTTCATCCAGGAGGGAGATAATACAGAGTAGTTTTTTAATAATTAGGTTTTTAAGTTGTTTACCCTGAAAATGATTAAGAACTCACTGAATATGGTGACGAATAACATATATTTGAAGATGAATTAGTTTTGACACCCAGTAAAGGTCTAACAATATGGTAATAGTTAAATAAATTATATGGCATATTCTTATAGAGTGTAATGCAACATATAAATCATGTTCATAAAGTATGCTTCATAAAACAAGGCAAATACTCATATGACAGGTGGAAAAAGGCTTTTATATGGTATAATCAAAATTAAATACATATACATCTATTTAAATGCTATGATTTCCCATATGTATTATACACACACACAAATACACACACACCTTGGAAGAAACCCCACTGGAGTTGAATTTACAAGTGTATTTTTTATTTACAGATTATCTGTGGAAACACTTAACCATATTTGTAAGTAGAAAAAAAATTTTATTTTAAAATCAGCGAAATAAATCGCTCATTCATGTATTCAACATTTATTGAAGGCCTACTCTGTACAGCTCTCAAAGTTACTAGGGCTAAGAGATAAATATCTGCAATTACTGCCATATAGGATCTCTTACAGCCTGGTTGTTCATTGTATTTCTTTGGTATCCCACTGTTAAGTAGGTAACATAACTTACTCTGAGTTTAATGTAATTGTTCCACGCACTGAACAAATTCTAATGCTTTATGCCAGCATAACCTTAATGCCACATCAACAATAATAACAATATTTAACATTTATTAAACACTTATGTGCCAAACATGGGACTTAGAGCTTTACATGCATTATCGTGCTGAATCCTCATAATAGCTTCACGGGGAGGGCACTGTTGTTACTTCCTATTAGGGACGAGTAAACTGAAGCTCAGAGAAGTGAAGTAATGGGCATAAGATCATGCAGTTATAAGTAGTAGGAACTGGCTCAGAACCCATGTCTAGCTTATTTCAAAGCATATGCTATTATCTATCATATCATCTTGCATTCTAGCTCATGACAACCGAAGTGACGATGTTTATTAGAAGGAACTCACCAAGCTTTTAAAGATATTATCCTTATGCCTTGAACCCCCCAGGCTGTTCTCACAGTAGCAAATTGCAGTCCTATGGCTTGAGCAAGGCAAATTTATCAGCATTGTCTGTCCACCACCTATTAACTTTTCAAGACTTAGGTCAATATTTTCTATGTAAAGTCATTGGTTTTGTCTAACTTCACCCTCCTACCCAGAACAAAAACAGTTAAAAAATTAACTACTTATTTATCTGTGCTGATATGGTAGCTTGGCCATTCAAAATATAAAGGCAAATATTTATTTAAGCAATCTTTGGCCTTTCCATGCATCATCTCCTTTGATCCTACCAAGAAATGTGAGGTAGCTACGTCTATCATCTTCTTACATAAAGACACTGAAGACCAGAAAGTTTGTCATTTGTCCAAAGTCACAGAACTCGTAATTGTACCTGGGATTTGAATTCAGCCTGATCAAAGGCATTCAGCTTTTGACAACCATGGAACACTGTTTCTGATACTAGGACATACCGACTCCTTCAGTCTGGTCATTACAAAATTTGTTACTTATATGCCAGGCAGTGAGCTAAAGGCTTTACAAAATTTTACAATAATCTTACAAGATAGATGTTATTTTCTTACTTTGCTGATTAATACACTGAGGTTTGGATAGTTAAAGTAACATCAACTTCTCATGACTAGAAATTAACAAGCTTCAGCCATTTTCCCTAATTGCAGACTAAGTTTCATTTGATTGTGTAATACAGTTACTTATCATGACCTTTGGCACCCAGCCAGTAGTCTGTATCTGTCTGTTGAGTTAATTCATTTTATCTAGTCTCTTTTTCTGTCCTGTTTTATTCATTTAATTTATATGCATTCTTCTGCTCTCAGTTCAGTAATTACTTCCCTAACTTATTGTATAGGCCAGATTTTTTTGTAAACCCTTATGGTACATATACCTATCTTTTGTGGAACCTATCACAGTTGCAGTTTTAAATTTAGTTGTGTAATCATGTGATTAGTGCCTAGACTCTCACTTTCTTCACTGGAAGCTCCATGTAAACAAGAATAATATTAATGTATCCTTGTATTTCTAATGCCTTTCATTGTGCAGTTGCTTAAGAAAATGCTTGATGAGTAATTAATTGATAACTATTCTTTGAACTTAGAGAAAGGTGAGTTTTGTCATGTCACTTAGCACAAACTATGCTAACAGTATAGCTTATAACTCAAGCTTTCTAAATAAACCCTCTCTTTAAGGTGAAACGTTGCAGAATCATTAATTAAAATACCTTTCTATCTTATAGAAACAGAATTCCTTCCAGAAGTAGATTTCTTCACATTATGTTTTGAGAATACTTTTATGGCCTATGACCTGTCGTAGTGAAACCCTGCTTTTCTGGGTCTTTTTTCTCTTCAGAGTGCACCAGCACATTATGCCTTCCCAAAGCGTGGAAGGAGTCAGGGAGCCTGCAGACCTGGGCTCAGAATTCCAGTGGAGGACTGGCTCTTTGCATTTTTCCTTTACATGACTTTCTGTTGTGTTTGCTCATCAGCTTCTCATCGACTCTGTGAAGGCAAAGGTTCTCAGGTTCTGAGAATGAAAAGTTTTTTTCTTGGGTTAGCAAATAATAAGACTCCAGAAGAGAAAGCATTTTATTAGCCTGACAGGGACCTCACTCCCACGTGGATTTGTTTTGCAAACATTGCCACTGCTCTTGTTCGAGTCACTGTTATTTCTGCCATTCACATATTCCCTTTCTTCCTTTCTAATCCACTCAGAGAAATTTTAGAATTCAAATATGATCATGTCCCTCACTTGCTTAATACCCATCAGTGGCTCCACATGGCCCTGGGGATGAAGTCCAAACTCCTGACTTGGCTTCTAGGGTTCTGCATATTTGACTCCTGCCTTCCTTTCCCTAGGCTCGTCCTGCTCCCCTCGTGGCCTTTCAAGCATTGCCAGTTCTCTCATTTCCAAAACGTACATTTTGCTTGATCAGAGCTCTTGCATATAAGTCTTCAATCTGCCTGGGACACTCTTTTTCCTCATCCCTACTCTTTTTTTTTAAATTGTACTTTAGGTTCTGGGGTACATGTGCAGATCATGCAGGATTGTTGCATAGGTACATACATGGCAAGGTAGTTGGCTGCCTCCATCCCCCCCGTCACCTATATCCAGCATTTCTCCCCCTGTTATCTCTCCCCAACCTCCCCGGCCGCCATGTCCCTTCCCTAGCCCCCCACCCCACACCTTAACAGACTCCAGTGTGTGATGATCCCCTCTCTGTGTCCATGGCAGCAATTAATAGCCTACCAACCAAAAAAAAGTCCAGGTCCAGACTGGTTCACAATCGAATTCTACCAGACATACAAAGAGGAGCTAGTTCCACTTCTTCTGAAACTATTCCAAACAATACAAAATGAGGGAATCCTTCCCAAATCATTTTATGAGACCTCATCCCTACTTCTTTGTCTAGCTAACTCTTAAATGTCACTTCCTCAGGAAA